CCCCCCCCCCCCCCCCCCATGCCTCCTTGCAAGTATATTTGTTGATAATGTACATCTGTCAGCTATTCCAAGAACTAGTCTATTCTGCAGCAAAAGGGGAAAGCATGCTCTCCATCCCTCGACGGCCCACTATTACCCTCCTTTCACACTTTATATTATTTCGCTGCTGATCGGTAACCTCCAGGTCGAGTCGCCGGGACCTCCGCTGCAACATGCAACATCGTTCAAAGCGTTTTCTCGGGTCCTCATGGCGTTCACAACGGGTCGAAGCTTTGACGGAGGAGGCGGAAAAATATCCCGCTCGCCATGTCTCACGCTTTTTTTTTTATCATATGGTGCTATGATATGCTTGTTGCTCTCGCTGATGCATGAGGGCGCATGGCACGGGATGAGAGAGAGGTGTTTTCTCCTTGTGTTGTGTGTGCCAGGGCGTTTGGAATCGTCGCTGCTGCCTCTTGGCTTCGTCCGCGCCGTTTTTTTCCGTGCGAATTGTGGCTTTTTGGGGGGAGGGAAGGGGGGAGTTGTTTCGGTTGTGTTGGGAAAGTAGAGAGGTCTTTTTCTGCATTTTCTGCATTGTTCGTTGTTTCTGAAGGACACCGCTGTCGCAGCTGGCTCCGTTTCAGGCAGTGACGTTTTTTCTTGACGTGAGTTAGTTGTAGAATTTGGGGCGGCCAGGGCGGGGGGGGGTTCTTCGTTTCATGTCGCGAGCGACGGTCGTTTCTACCAGTGAGACAACAACTCTTGTCCGCTGCTTGTAGCTGTTGCTTTTGGCTGAGTAATTTTTCCTCACAACAAACAAAGGTAGTTTACTGCGGGGATTGTGGGTCGTCTCCATGATCGACGTCGCTTCAAGTCATGACTTGGGCTTCAAGTCATGGGTGAGGGCATGCTGTTGTGGGGGGACATTCAATACACAGAACGACGTTCGGAAGGGTATGTATGTATTGTTTCAATTTGAAGCACCTTATATGGTTCTCGCTTACATGTATTCGTGCAACTTGGTATGTTGACGACCCTGGGTAGAGATGATAAAGCCGCGGGCGGAGATGGGTTTAACTAGAGCTACTGGCACCATGCGTATGATGCGTGGGCACGGGATGTCGTTGTTTCAGAGGTTTGCTCGGGAATGTACCGACGGTAAAATTCTAGTGATTCGAATACTGGGGGCGAAAAAACAAATGGAACACAAAAACACGTCGTGTAGGGGAATTGAACCCACCACTACAGTGTTGAGCACTGCAGTTTGTAGCCTGGCCGCATCGTGCGCAATCTCTAAGAGAGGGTACGCAATGCAATACCATCGGCAACCTGCCCCCTCACCGGCTTGTGCGCAATGCGTCAACCTGCAAGAAAGGGTACACCTTGCACTATTTCCGGCAACTTGCCCCCCAACCGGCTTGTGCGACGCGCGCCAACCTGCAAGTAAGGGTACACCTTCTATAGGCAACCTCCCCCCTAACCGCCTTGTGCATGGCGCGCCAACCTCCAAGAAAGGGTACGCCTTGCGCTGCCATCGGCAGCCTGCCCGCTGTCTAGCTTGTAAGCAGTGCACCAACCACAAGGAATGGTGCACCTTGCACCGCCATCGGCAGTCCGCCCCCTGTCCGGCTTGTTGTTAGCAGCGCACCAACCACCAAGAAAGGGTACACCTTGCGCCGCCATCGGCAGTCCGCCCCCTGTCCAGCTTGTTGGCAGTGCACCAACCACCAAGAAAGGGTACACCTTGCACTACCATCGGCAACCTGCCCCCTATCCGACTTGTAAACAACGCGCAACCTCCAAGAAAGGTATAACTTGCACAACTTGGCCATCGTTGCATTGCGAGGATTACCCAAGGTGGGGAGGTTGCAACTCGTGCCAAAATATATCTCGATTCAGGTTGCCAAAAGTGCCCCTACAACCCGGTTTTTTGTCGTTGTTGTTTCTCACAATAGCTCTATAGTGCACAAAAAATGGGGAGCCCGTGGTCTCAAAACCCGGCACATACGACGCCGCGAGGAAACAAAACAAAAATAGGGTACAAACCACTCGGAAAAAGAAAACAAAATGATGGAGAGAAAAGAACAGGTGCCGCACCGACCGTTCGAGAAAAGAGCCCTCGGAAACCGTTGTGTTGGCCGCCCGTTTGCCTCTTGCGAACTGATCCGGCCGGCATTGAAACACTCACCTTCCGTCGTTGTTCGCCGCTCGCTTAGTCTATTCGTGAAAGTGTGGGCTCGACAACGCCGCTGTTGCCGTGCGATTCGTGTACAGAGTTTGCAGTGCCCTACGTTATTGCGCGGTCGGGGTCGCACCCACACGTACTTGAGAATTTTGCGGGACACAGCAGTGCTGGGTCCCGGCTAGCTCAGGGTCAAAAGTACCGGCTCTTCCCTTCATTTTTACCGGGAAACGTACAGGCTTGCCCCCGATTCAAACTCGTCGACCGTTCACGGGGACCTTCGAGATTGCCCTGGGGAGGGAAGACCGAACAGTGAGATGCCACTGTGCGGAGCTATTCGTTTTAGGCTGTTCACAAGGCATCGTGATGGCGCACGAACAGCAGTAGACGGACGCAAAGGACTCATCGTTTCGTGTGTGTTGTGTGTGTGTTTTCGTCCTATTTATTATGGCGACAGTCCCCCCATTTTTCGTGGTGAGACGTGTGCTACACTTTTCAGCGTATGTAGAGTAGTACATTTTTTCAGTGTATTTTTTCGTACAACCACAACCATCCAGGGTCACACAGGAGGGGGTAAACACCAGGGCTTTTTTCTTCTTTTCTTTCTTTTCATGCCCCGCCTTCGTCCTGCGGTGCGTGCTGCATTTTATTTTATCGCGAGAAGGGTCCAGCCGTCCCTTTCCCTCGTCAACGGTGCTAACGTCGACGTTTGGTACTCACGAGAGCTTTTTTAGCTATGTTTCGCTTTCACCCGCAGATTTCGTAAATTTTTTACCCCATGGGGATTCGAACTCACGACCTCTGCAACTAGCGGATTACGAGGATATCACTATTATAGACCACCGGGGCGACCGGTCGTGTGGCGTCGTCAGATAAAAAGCAATGTCCTCCTTATTGCGAGAAGGGCGTTGTGATGTGCCCTGGTGGTGACGGATATTTAGGGCCGAAGACCCACACAGGGCGAAGTCGAACTCTTCCATGCCCTACTGTCGCTGTTCGGTGTCTGTAGCACCTCCTTCCCCGCTGCCGACGGAGCAGTGGGCTACCGGCGTTCGATGGTGAAGGTGTTCGCTAGAATGCCTCGTCAATCGTCGCGGTATCGCTTGTGACAGCGCAATATTATATGTACATGTGCGCACCCACAGCCTGAAACGCTACAGGTACTTTGGTTCTTTGCAACGCGTTCCACTACGTCTGAACGCCGTTGGCGACAGTGAGGCCATTAGAGACGGGCCCATCTTCGTGAAGCACAGTCAACGATCCGTGGTGGGCGAAATCGCTCTCCAAGAGCATCATCACGTCCTTTTCCTGGGACCTGGTCAAGTGTGTCTGTCTCGTCTCCACTCGTGACCAAAAAAACAGGGGAGGGGCGGGGGGAGGATTTCCACAACACACCAAACGACGACACATGGGAAAAAAAAGGCAGCAGCAAATGGAAAAGTGTAGTCCGAAGTAGAGTCGAAAAAGTCCGCCTATAATCGAAAACCACCACCAATCAAAAGTCCGCGAAATCACTCTCAAAGAGCGCCATCGCCTCCTCAGCGAGGCTCTTGTCGTTTGTGTCCACAACCTCCCCGCCCCCCACGAGCATGCGGCCCCCCTCTATCGTGTTGCGCGGCCAGCGCAGCGGATCCCCCCTGTACTCGAGCCCGATGGGGAAACGACTCAACGGCCGGTTGTATGCGATGCCTTCCGGGTTGGCGGCTCGGAAAGCGCGCACGTTCTCCCGTTGCTCACGGCCGGAGAGGGGTGGAAGGGCGGCGCCTGCCGCAGTGATCTCCTCCGCCGAAAGCATCGCGTCTACCATTCAAACATTACAACGGGAAAAGGAGGCAGGAGGGGGATGGGTACGAGACAAGATACATGCTTCATGACATGAGCTTGTAGTTCTTCAGCACGGAAAAGAGGTGCCCAACCGGGGAGGGGCGTGGAAACGAAGATTATACGATGGCCGTGGGTTCATCGCCGTCATGATGGCACAGAAGAATGACACTCAGCATCACGCGGATCATGATGACCAAGTAGCATGCAACGGGAAGAGAGGGGCAACCTTTCGAGGGGATACACATGCCGGTCAACAGCGAACGACTTGCATTTTTCCATACAGTACGTTGTCAAAAGAACATGATGCCATCGACTTACCCCAGAGTGGGCTCTGGTATCCGAGTGGGCTCTGGGTGTCATGTGGTTAATGGTACGATGATCGTGATGGCAACACGCAGGCAGCGGGGTGACACTCGCATATGCAGCATGAATGCAAGCCCTCCGAACTCAGCGTCACCATAGCAACGCAAACTCTATGGGCACACAATGAAGTTTCTGCGACATAAGGTAGCAGTGCCGTATGCATCAACTCAGCAATGACGTCGGGAAATATGTTACGATAATATCTCACCCGAGTCATCGCAGACCAGCCGCCCCCCAGTCCTCTTCCGTATCGCCCCCTCAATCACCCTGCCAACGTAGTCATACATCATAAAAGCCAGAGCTTCAAGAAGCTTCTTGTCTTTCGCCTCCTGTGGATCCTGCAGTTCGAGGTAGCTCGCCTGGAAATAGCGAAGAGGTATAAAACACAAGGAAGCCGGAGAAACCAGGAAGTCTAACGGAGAAAATTTGTGAAAAATCTGAAAAAGTAGAGAGGCTCGCCAAATCGGGGCCCGCATTCCAGAACATAATCGAATTGCCTCCTAGGTTTGGAATGGAAACACAAGTTATGATTTGCCGGGGCTCTGGCATACAACTCTGAGAAGAAAAAGGACAACAAAAAATAAGTGAAGGGGTTCCGTTTCTGGGGGCGAGCACAATAGCGCGAGACGGCCAATTGTCGTATCTAGGATTGCTGAGGTGGCCAAACCCCAATCACAAGGGGAACACAGGCTCATACAACAGTCTTCTCGGTTTTACGCAGTTTCTCATTCAGCAGTAACGCGGTCGATGCTGACTACGCAACCTTACAGTCACGCCTACAACCACAATAGAGCGTCATATGAGCCGGGCGTTCGGCCGACCGCCTCGGAGGCAGCGACTCGGTGTGCGAGATGCCACCAAGCCCATGTGTTTCGATCAATCTACAACCCATGCGATATTTCTCTTCCCAGCGCAATGAAGGCCGCTTGGCCGACCTGGCTCCGCACTCGTTGCCCTCACCAGGAAAGGTCGAGACCCTGGGGGGTTCTTCTTCCTGTCTCTGTGCGGATTGGTCCGGCAGCGCCCCTTCAGAAAGAAAGCCTTCCTGAATTCGAAAAACGTTTTGACGTAGTCCTCCTCTTCCATGCCAACCGTCCTTTCGTCAGCGAACCTCTAGATGACAGCCGGGGGGAGGAGGGGGGTATGTGCGGGTCCCACCGGGAAAACGTTACGGAGGCGTGATGGTCTCATTTTGTGCTAAATAAGCGAGCGGCATCCAAAAAGAGCGAAAGAAAAAAGTGCTGCCGGTTCCGTTTGAATATCCCATTACATGTAGCGCGCACAGCGGCATGGTGCCCACGAGTATTTACGCATCTTCTCCCGCCTTGTGGTTGCAGAATGCCCGAGAGAGCGTGCAGGGTTTCTTGCCACCGGTGTCTTGCGTATCTCGCGTTTGCTAACCCTACCCCAAGCGGGATGAATCCAGCTTTTACAAAAAAAAAATATGGATTTTGCAACAAGATAGGCTTCTGCTGTAGGTGATGCCAGGACGTGCAAAAATTGTAAACTAAAATCGAAGGAGACAGCCGTATCTCCCCTACACAGCCTATGCAACAAGCACAGGGAGGGCAGTTAGTTCCGATTCAGATACCTTGCGATTTTCTATGCGGCTGGCCACCTCTTCCTCCTCGGCTGCCCACTCCCTGGCCTCCGCTCCGCCATCACCATCGCTCCGCTTCTCTTCCTCGTGCTGTTGCTTGCGGTGCTTATTCTTTGGCAGGATGTGCTGTTTTTGCCAAGGGGTGGCCTCACCGTGCGTAACCCCCGCCATCGCCTTGTCAGCATCGGCGTTGGCGCCCCCACTCGCAGCAGCGCCCTTTCCTGAACTCGTCCCTCCTACCAAGGGTACTGGCGCTGCTACCGCTGCTGCTCCTGCACCCCCGCTAGTGATTTCCCCGTTTGGTTCTGTACTACTCGCGCCCTTCCCCTTGTTTCTTGCCGGTGCATCGCCGTTGCTATCGCCCCTTACGTTCATGCCACCTTTGTGAGCAACATAATTATCATCGTCGTCATCATCGTCTTCGTCGTCGTCATCATCATCGTCTTCATCGTCGTCATCATCATCGTCATCGTCATCCACGTCGCTCAGGCGCAGGTCCGCCCCCCTCTCCACCTCGCTTTTTGTTCCCCTCTTAGAGTGGGCCTCCTTCCACGCCATGTACTCCCGCATCTTTTCCCGTCGTTGGTGTGTGACGGTTGTTCCAAAAAATAGCCGGGTACCGAGCCAGCATGTATGCATCCATGTAGGGAAGCGATCGAGACAAGCACGGAACGGAAGGCGTGCAGAGACGTTTGTACGAGAAAAAGGCAGGCACAGGACCCTGGCCTCGAATAACCTGTCCCCATCATGTGGTTGGCCAATCAATAATCGACCGATCTCTCTACCAAACACAGCCCCAACCTCAAGCCACCACACGATTCTGCGAAACAAAGGCTAGTGTGAATCTACACTGATTACACCCGAATGACATCGCTTGGGAGGCAGTCGTGAGTAACCAGAAATCTGACACAAGGCGGGTCGAGAGCCCTTGGCAGCGACCTCCGCTACGCAGGTTGGCACCAAAGACGCTGCTATCCCGACGCTTGCGGCATACTAGACTGTTTTTCTCGCGTCAAAAAACAACAGCGACAACGCGCCAACAAACAGTTGCTACCGCTGTACCTCTCCCGGCATGGTCATCCAGATATGCTTGACCCTAATTCGGCTTGGGGCCGACCACTCGCGGCAGACATGCACCATCCGGATCCCCACCGCCTTTACCAGCTTCTCCATAGCGGCGACACCCTCGATACAAGGACACGCCTTCTCCCCGTGACCGGAGCACTTACAAGTTACGTTGCCCCGGGGGTCGCCTGAGATGATGTGCATGTGCGACGCGTAAAATGTGGAGAAAAAAAGAGGGTGGGTGAGTTCTGCCATTCAGAAGTGGGAACAGGCAAGAGCGAAATGCGAGGGAGCTGGAACGGGGAACAAGGCTGTTGTTGGACCTATTTGATAAGCATCAACATCAGCCGCGAATCACTACGATTCTGTCTGCCTCTGTCTCTTCATCTACCCGCTGAATCCTCCTCTTTCTCTGCTCTCCTCACCGAACGCGGCCATCATCATCCACAGCTCCGAGAAAAATGGCGGCTTCTTGACAACCTCGACGCCTCTCTTCTTCTTTTCCGAAAACGCCCACTCGTTCACCACAACGAAGGATAGCTCGGGGGCCGCCGCCCCTCCCCCGCCCCGGCCGATGCTTCCGGGAAGCACAATACCTCTTCCTGATGTTCTCCCGCGCTTCTTCGTCAACGAAGGAGTTATCGGAACGACAAAGGAGGAAACGCTCGACGACGAATTGCCTAGTGAAGTTGTCGGTGCTGGTGTTGGAGGGAGCGGGCCCGAGGAGGAGGAGGAATGGGCAGGCAGTGTCATGCTGTTGCTGCTGCTACCACTGCTGTCGTTTGGCACAAGAGAGCTCGCCAAAAGCCCCGCCCTGTCATCAGCAGAGGTGGGGAGGGTCGGAGTGATCCCTGACCGCAGCTGCTGCTCCATGGTGAGAAGGATATCACTCGGCGACGGGCCAGTCGGTGGCGGCCTCGGCAAGCTCTGCACGGGTTTGATACGCAACATAAAGAGGCGGCACACGGGGGAGGGCGCAGGGTCGCCGTGTTGGGACGATCGTGTTTTCGGCACGGCACCTGGCCGGAGGCGGGGGCTTCGTAGCACTGCTGCAGGTGTTGTTGTGTCATCCACCATATACCACCCAGAAGCAGCGCGTCCTTCTCACTCGATGAGTCTGAAGAGGATCCGGCGGTAATGTTGGGTGGGTATCCCAGCGGATAGTGGCGAAGAAAGGCAGACACACATATTGCATGGTACACGTAGCCGCTGCCACATAACACTGTTACCTGCAGCGGTGGCGAAGTCGTACCGAAATTACAGTGTCCTGTCCAACTGTGGACATGCTGATGCAGCTGGCGATGGATATCATCTCTTATCTCCGTGGTACATGTAGCATAAGAACACACTTTACAACTAATACATCTGTGTCCCAATTAGCCCAGTAAAAAGGTGCCGACTCTCCCAAAACAGCTCCAAACCTCATGCACAACCCACTCCCAGAGTAACCTACATCTTGACTGACAGGAGTATCAGCAGCAGAGGCGCCACCAGCCCCGCCTCCACCAACGGCGCAGCTAGGATCGTCCGATCTGTTCTCTTGGGCAGCATCGTTTGCTTGTGTTCGCGCTGGCGGTGTCTTGCTCGCTGCTTTCAGGCGAAACACCCTCTTTCCTTCTCTCCCCTTCCCCGGTGGCTTTCGTCCACCTTGCATTGTAATCGCATCAGCGCAGTGTGGTAAGGCTGCGGCTGCGGAATGTGATTGAATGATGTGACGCCTGCCAGGGGCTCCGCGCCTGGAGAATGGTGAGGTTTCCAAGAGACTTGTTAAGGCATAGTAGTTCTCCGATTCGGAAGTTCGAAAGCTTGGTTCTCCGTATCATTTCGCGGGGCTCCCGGCCCTCATTTCTTGTTCTCTAGACGTAAAGGTTGTTGTCCGCGTCTGTATGCTATTACTTTCAGGTTGATCGACGTAACCTCGCCCTGGTGGCGACCCCTGTGTGCATGGATACTCGCTACGGAGCATACTATTCGTCAAAGGTTTCAACGGAATACTGGGAGATTTCTGTCTTCTCGGAGCCGAGGGGGGGTCGACGAAGAGACGAGAGCACGAGAGCTGCATGATACAACCGCGGTCTCTTGTGGCGCAGAACGAGAGCCTTTGGCGAAGGACGTAACCAATGGGTTGGAAAAAGGCTTGGGCTTTTGCACTGGTGGTGTCCTTCGAACCAGGCCACTGCATCGAGACTCCGCGTGGTGCTCGCTCGGCGCCACGGCTCGGGGGCCGAGATGGTCCCCAGAAGCAGGTAAGAGTGCCGATGATGCACAGCAGTTTGAATCCGTCAACCCATCCTTTGAAGTAGAGACCGCCGCGGCACAACAACATGAAAACGACGGCGTGATCGCGTGCAGAGAGCAGCAGATGGTATCTCTGTGTACTGCGCGCATCGAAGCGTCGACGGCGCGAAATTAGTAGGCTCCCGTCCGAACTCCCTGCGCCGTCTGAATTGAAAAGCATGGATTGCATTAGTCTATTCGGTACAAAGAAAGAAGCTGCGATCGTATGCGCATGACCAGCGCAACAATATAACATAGTACCAAGTAGAAGATTTGCACTTGTTTGCGACCTACGCCACTTATTTATCGGGTGAGACTGTTTTGGTGATGTATTAACTTCACGAGAGGTAGACGACCGTCCTTCACACGGACGAAAGAGGGAGTGCTCAAAGAGCAACTCGCACGGCAAGGAGAGGCCCCGTGAATCATCGCGGTGCCCCCTATCAAACGGTTATCTTACCAGTCTGCGTGACACAAAATCATCCAGCACATGTATCCAACAGCAATGTTCGCAGACTCACGAACAC